ATCTATTTAGAGCAGCTATCAACAAAGTTGTATGGACCAACGTGATTGCCAACATCCACAGAGGATAGGCACCAAAAGAAGAAGAAGAAGATTACAAAGAGAACTAAAGTTTACAACTCAATTTTTTTATATGAGAATATTTTTTAATAGGGCGTGACGACACAAAGTTAGTTCGTAATAAATCGATGTATTTTGTTTTCTCAGGCAGTTTATTTTCTTAAAATTATATCTTATATCTTAAAAATTCAAATCATTTAATAGTTTAATGAAAGGTTGCTTAACATTTCCCTTTTGTACTACAGCATTAGCTTGCTCATATTTTTTCTTAGATAAACAGAAAAAACCAAGAGGGGGTTCTTCTTCTAAATATTAGGGGATCTTCCTTCTTTCACAGTCATATCTTGATATTTTCAAGATTCCTACGATTTTTATTGATATGTTGAATTCAAATATTTTGATTGTTATGCAAATATTTACCAGGTTCTTTCTGGTGGTGTGCTTTAGTATTATGTAAGCTTTAGTATAAGTGCTGTAAATACTAGGTGGGACATTTTACGAACCATTTAATTGAAAACAAAATATTATCGTTAATTTGGAAAATGCCCTTGTTATAATATCAGTGTTGATGTACTATAAAGAAGTTTTTCCATTTACAAATATCTACTCAGAAGCCATACGTTTTTGTTAAAAACAATTTGGACAGCATTTAATAGTAGTTTATTGTTCGCACAATTCAAAGTAATACTCAAATTTGTGATTCCCTACCTAAACTTAGTTTGTAAAATAAATAAATCTTAATTACTATAAAATCTGAAGATATTCTAAAATATTTTTGTAAACAAAACGGATACTACTTTCTGAGTTATTTATATTTTTTTATTATTAGGTACATTCATATTTTCTAAATATACATGCATATTTTATATAAAACACTGCATATTTTCTGTTTAGAGTTAACATTTTTTCCTTTTGTAATTTGAATAAAATAGAAAAAACTGGTCGTCATTTATATTGGCTTCTTTATATCCCGCTTGCCATTACTCTGAACGTGACGTCATGCGCGCGGCAGACGACAACTCGTTCTCAGGAGCATCCGGGCCGTTATTTGGTAGTGGGAAGGTCACGTTCTCGATAAACACCGCCCATTAGAAAGAGATGCAAGGATTCTGCGTTTTTTTCTCTTTCGCACTGGGGCTACCGTTTTAGATTGCAACACGCAGTTTACGGTATTACATGTATATGGTACAAGTACCATTAAATAGTTTTAGGAAGTTTATGTCAAACTTATCAATATTTAACTACAAAATTGAAGATACGGCTAAAAAGTATTGAGGTTCAAACCATGAATTAGTTTAAGTTGCATTTTCTTGGAGCAATTTTTAAAGTAGTTATATCATCGAATTCAATATTGTCATGTAAAAGATAAACAAGTCAGATCGGTTTATAAATTTCGAAGAAATATATTAAAATGAAAATTTGGTCAGAACGCACAAAAAAAATTGCAACTTTTTTTAAACTATTCCATGTTTGATACAGCCCCACTACCCTTTAATCAGATCGTCAATATTATTCAGATACAACTAATGATAATAAAAAAAAATTTCTTGTTGCTCCATATACTATCCAAATTATCTACAACTTTCTGTGTATATGCTCCTTTGCAAACAACCGTAATGAGATTTAGAAACAATCCCGTAATTATGATATCGCACCCTCAGTGCAAGACTGCAGTAACTCAAAATTTTATAAAAATGAAGTAATCATGGAATTAGATTGTAAACATGCATATCTATCCCCTGTAAAACTTTAGTAACTTTCACATGCTTAACCGGCTAAATATTACAACAACAACAGTTTAACTATTTTGCGTTTTTGTACATAAGTTCCGTGCAAAACTGTTGTAACTCTCATGTAACAGAGTTACAACAGTTTTGCACGGAACATTGCAATGGTTTCGATAACAAGCAATAAAAAGCACGAAAAAAGTGAGATCTTTGTCATATTTGTTATTTTAATATGTATATCTGTGGTGTTTAATATTAATATACAGTGTGTCTACGTAATCCATTAACGGCCTAGACAATAAACAAAGATTAACGAGACCAAATTATTCATGTAAGTTTTATGTCCTTTGTGTGTCATTATATTTTTCATAAAATGTTTGCGATGTCGTTTAGCCATTTATTTATTAGATTGGATTAAAAACACATAAATTAAGACTAATTATTTACAGCCAAAAAGTATTTTTTTATGAAAGGAAAAACAGTTATATATTAAAACTTGTGTATTAACAATACTGACAGGTTAAAAATATCTATTCTCAGAAAACTTGTTCTATAAAATATAAATCCTAAACTATATTAAATATTCACGTAACCTTCCGGGGCGATTGTCTTATCATATTATTGTCCCCACATAATTCCCAACTTTTACTAAGGTAGTGAATTCCAATCCTTTTGTTAATCACTTTACTCAAGGTAGCCTGATTTGCATATTTTTATTATAGTCGTTTTGTTTTGAATTTAAATAAAAATATTCAAAGTTTTACAAATAATGTTTCTACCTTATTATGGCATTGTCATTACAAAGCGAAGGATTTGTGGCTATCAGAAACATGTGCAGAAATAAAAATATTAAATTGCCGCTAACAATAAACCGTTTTATGAGGTGTAATACCTATTTATTCTAGGTAGCTATCTGATTTCTTGGACTCTATTAAATGTAAAGTTTATTACCATACCACGATTGCTGTTGGGGATTATTTTTTCTTTACTTACCCGATGATTTATTGGAATTTATTAAACGTATATACTAAACCCCGGAAATTACTTTCCCTTTATCTATCAGGTGATTTCTGTGAATACATTAAATGTAATGTTTAGTACTATTCCTATCGTTGTTGGAGATTACTTTCTCTTTACCTACCCTATTAACTCATTAGAAACGAGTTCTCAAGGAAGAAGTACGAGTAGGTACATTTTAGTAGTGTAGTTTTTAATATAATCTGTTATTAACCCTTGCAAGTGATAGATGCAGAATTAACGATTTCGAAAATGTCAAAATTTAATAGTTCCAGAACATTGAGGATTTTATCCGTGTGTACTCAGACAAGTGAGGATAGCAACGACATGCAGAGTAAGTTGAATTTAAATTAATTGTTGTAATATAATCTATTTATCTACTCTTGTTTTCAAATTCAGTGGTGAGAATTTCTACGACTAGTGTAAACTGAACGAAATAGGGGCGTTCAAAAAAATACTTCTGATTTAAGCGAAATGATTAAAAGTACATAGACACAATGTATTAGAGAAACAATAATACTAAAGTTTACTTATGCCATTCGAGTATGATACCAGAAGCTTACCATAGTTTTTATGAAAATATTTTGGCCCAAGATGATCAAGAAGAGGACAACAACTAACAGAAAGTGTGTCCACACCTTTTACAATTTTGCCGTGCAAAAGTGTTGTAACTTTAAAATTCCAATACTAAATGTGTAGTGATTAACAATTTTGTCCGTGCAAAACTGTTGTAACTTTGAAATTCCTAATTTTTTTAGCATAAATATTATTTTGTTTAAATTTTTATTTTTGGTTAATGTAATATAGGCTATAAAGCATGTAAAATAATAATTAAATGTTAATGTTTCTTGAAACTTGTGTCTTATTTCACCGATATTAGCACGAAAATAAACAAAATCGTCTGTATCTCGAAACTTACTTATTCTGACTTACTGCAGTCTTGCACTGAGGGTGCGATATGTGTACTTCTACTTTGCATAATATACATAAAAATAAAGGTTGTTGATTTTTAGAGGTATAGAACTTTGAAATGGAATAAAACAAAGACGATTGATCAATTGACATGAAATTCGAAAGATAATCTTTTGGCATTATAATTTAAAAATGATTTCTGATATATGGCCGTTATGGCTGGCTCTGACGTAGTCTAATCTGGAGGTCCAATTTTCGATCACTTTTTACAATATTTAATAATAATAATAACAACGCGTCTAATGTTGTTGTTCAAGTGGTCAATCGATTCATACAGTCAGTTTTTCTGAATGCAATGATTTCTCAACATACATTTGAGGATTATCTTAACTCCAAATAGGGCAGTTTTGTCTGTTGACGTTGAAGAAAGATATTTCCGCAAAATCTTCCATACAGTCGATGGACACGTATCCAACCGCTATGCACGATGGCAGATAGACTGATTCGGGGCTTCCTGTATGCCACGTTGTACAACAGCAACAACATCTGTACGCACTGTACGACGTGTCTGTGGATGCATGTTATTTTTTAGAGTAAACATGGTGCAAAATGTTCCATGGTTAACCGAACTACTTGTTCTGATGGACTATGTTGACACAATTTTCAAAATAAATTTGTACAATTTAGAAGCGTTGTTCAGGCGTCAAGTCAATTTATTCTGACATGCCAAACCAATCAACTTAACATAAATCATTTATGAACTGTCAAATTGGCAACAGTTAAAAAGTGTTACCAACTTACATTTCAATACCTCTAAATAAACACCCTTTATAAAAACACTGCCTCGTTAGAACCTCGCGGTAGTACTGACACTGACTGCAAAATGAGCTGAGGAACTATTTAAGTATTACGAAGTATTATTTAATGTTTATTATTTATTTAGGTTAAATGAATGATCCCGCGAAAAACTTAAGATGTTAAAATGTGGTTGAAAATACACCATTGAGACAATTATTCAGATTTAGATATCTTGCATTAGAGTTATCCAGCAGTCACAGTAAATGGGTTAAGAAACTGTTGAATCACTAAATGATACTTAACGGCAAATCTAAAATCTACAACACATATGTCATAATGGAAGGAAAACTAGGAGAAAAATATCAATAGCTTCCAACAGGCAAAAGATGAATGTACACATAATTTCGTGGCTATGGCATCTCGAGTTTTAGTAATATTATCTAAATTTTTTAGTCTTTAGAATATATGTAATAAAATCACAATACTTACGTGTTGTCCAACAATAGCAGCAGGATGAGTCAAAGCTTGATCATAAGTAGGGGGAGGCCCCTGTGGATATATCTGAGTCTGCCCAGGAATCACATATGGATTACCTCCCGGAATACCTGGCATCACTGAAAGAAGAAGTTATACTGTAAATATTTGTTTATTAGAAATTTATGAAGGCTTAAAAAGATGCAGCAGTTTCAAGTATTTGAGAGGATCCTTCAATTATATTTCAATTTACTTTTGTCATTTCTTAAACGTTTTGATTTTCAAATTGAAAGTGGTTGCTTAAATATGGGAAAAAATGTGTCAAATACTAAAAATAAAAAGAATATGATATGTCTTATCTCTTTATCCTATTCTTTTTTGACTTAACCCAGCTAACCTTCAATATTCTAACACATGGACATTATAACCGATATTATTTGATAAAACAGTTCTCAAAATATAAAACATTAACCCATTATGACCTGGCGTTACATATATGTAACGTTTTGTAGACCCGTACAAAATTCTCTTGTGCGGCCCTAATTAGGCTGTTAGAAGGTAGATGGTGTGATAGGTCGGTTTTCAAAAGCTAGTTCTGTCGTTATAAGTGAGTTCTGTGTGTAATAACTTTGAATATATTGTTTTATTTATGTGATTTATTCTTGGTGAACCTGGCTGATTCGATGGAAACCGGAATACGATTTAAGTAAGTATTAAAAAACTAATTTCTTTTTCAATTATGCATCATTTTATGTGTATTTGTTAAGCTAATAGTTCTATTTACATTTTAAGTTAGGTATTTTCCAAAACTAATCTTCATAGACGTATGCAAAACCGATGTTTTGTTTGTGTTACAGATATGTAACGCTAGGATATTATGAATCCAAAAATGTTTACAGTATAGATTGATGATTTTATTTTTATTTATCGTTATATATGGCTAAAACAAATGTGAAAAAGAAAACTGATAGTTGTTTATTGAGAATTTTGATTTCATTTTGTTTTAATTTTAGAAGGAATTTGAAGCTCCAGAAAACGTTAGAAATGGCATACATTTATTATGCAAAGAAGATATTCTAAGAACCACCGGAAAGTCATGTTTTGACAGACGAAGATTCTGCGGACGATGATACTGGAAGTACTGTGGATCATTATCACGCCGTTAATTGAGAGCACGTCGAAATAAAATTTATACATTCAACAAGTAGTTCTTTCCATTCTACTTTAGATGAACCAACTTGCAGTACATCTGATGAGAATGTAATCAGAGAGCAAATAACGAATAAGCGTGAGAGAAAATCAACATTTATATTCTGATTTTGTTTTTGTCGAAAAAGAAGCGTTGTTGGAAATGCCCTTGTGGTACTTTGACCTGTTTCACTGGGTTTTTGTTAGAAAACGTTAAAAAATTATTCTTAAAAAGAATCCCTTAAAAAGAAATGACTAATTTTTAAATTGACTAAAGAAATTTCTAATCCAAATCATTAAAAAGTGTTGTAAAAAAAATCGCTTAAACCGTTGTTTGTCAAAGAACAGTTCATTCTACACAAAAAGTGCTAACAAACATTTTTTTCAAATTATCTCAGCTACATTTTTTATTTAAAACATTTTTTTCTACGGTGTACTGATTCTAGATAAATCTATTTTTTTGCTTTCTTACTTCTTACGAGGGGGTTTTAGGGGGAAGCCCAGAGGTTAAAGTGGTAAACTTTTTTGCATCTTTTTTGGGGTAACAAAATTAATGTTCTCTGCAAAATTCAGCTTGTTCGTATAATTTTTAAAGGTTCAGTGGCATTTTCCTCTCTGACGACAGGAGTATTATGTATTTGTGTCGATCTTGGTAACAAGATGTACTTACACAGTGAAATTATTAACAAAAAAGGAAAAAATTAATACCTTTTTCCACAGTAATAGTTTATTAAAGCATATTTAATCAAATGCGTATATATATTTTTTAAAAACCAAACCCCAGTCTAAATTCCAATATTTATAGTTCACCCTGTATATGAGTCAATATAAAATTAAAGATATTTATAACATTAACACTAATCACCATATTCTTGTTAGGTGGTGCCAGAAAAAAAGATCCACTGACCTTCTATTGTTTTGTTTAATTTGTGGATAAGATAAGACAATATTGTGGTATCACACAGGGATATGTTATACAGAGAACTACGGCGGTCTATGTTCGGCAATGGCCAGAGCGTTAAATTTACCGAATGATAGCTGGTCCAAATCCGGCTGGCTAGCATTAAAATTTTCCTATAATATATAAAAACAAAGAATTCCCGTCTTCGTCGGATCTGTACTTGATCGAGGTAATACGAGTCTTTCTAGATTTTATTTAGAAAAGAGACATTTACTCTTCCACGTTAAGAACACCTCCAAAGGATAACATAAAAAATCGCAAAATGGAAAAACTTAACTACTAGTAGAAATAAATAAGGAGATTAAATAAAATAAAATATAAAATAAATTGGAAATAAAAGAGCTGAAAACAGAAATGAAGGAAGAAAATAAGGAGATCAGAAGATATATAAATGAAGTTAAAGAAGAGATAAAACAAAATAACGAAGACATAAAAAGCATAAAACTGGAAATAGAAAAGGTGAAGGAAGAATGGACAAAAGAGAAAGAAGAACTGAAAAGAGAAAACGAACTAACCAAAACCAATAACAAAAAGATAACGGAAGAATTAAATGATCTAAAACGCTCATTGGAAAGATTAGACAAAGAAAAAAGAATATAATCATTAGTGGATCAAAAATAGACTCTGAAGACCCAAAAACATTGAAAGAGGGAATGACTACTATATTAGAAAATCATCTTGGAGTCAAAACTAATATCAAAAGAGCACAAAAAATAGGCACAAAAATATGCTTAATTAAACTTGAAAGCGAAGAAGAAAAAACAACAATCTTAAGAAACAAATACAAACTTAAGAAGGTGAAGATCGAAAAAATATGGATTACAGAGGATCTCACAAAAGGAGAGAGAGAGAGAGAGAGAAAATGAAAGCTTTAAGAGATAAAGCAAGAGAAATGAGGGAAAATGGAAAAATGGCCAAAATGGGATACAATAAAATCACAGTGGACGGCAAGGAATGTAGATGGTGCTATAAAGAAGAAAAGGTGGTGGATATAGCGTGTTCAAAAAACTACCAGAGTAACATAAAAAGAACCAAGGAGAGACCAAGCCACGAATAGAGAAAGAAGAATTATTAAATAAACCGGAAAATGATGACAGATATTTAGTTTTAAGTAGTAATAGGAATAGGATTAGAAATGTAAATGATAATTATCCCATTAAAAATATGACTTGTGATAGGAATATGGGTATTAGGTATATTAACAGTAGTGATAATATTATAGCTAGGGAGAATATTAATAATGGGCATAGCATTAGTAATGAAGGTAGGGAAAAATTAAATATTAGTATTAAAAATAAAAACAGTAATAAAATAAATAACGGATATAATGTTAATACAAAAACCAGGGAGCATGAAATCAACGAAAACACCAATAATGGAGAAGAAGAATATAGTAATAAGGAAATATATCATAAGACAAATCATATAGGAATAGCGACATGGAATGTAACATCTCTGACCGGCAAGGAAATAGAAGCTACGGAAGAAATGAAAAAAAAAAAAAATGAAAGTACAAATAATGGGAATAAGCGAGACAAAAAAGATAGGGAAAGGAGACATCAATATCAATGAGAAATATAGTCTATATTATTCCGGAGTACCACAGGGTCACAGAGCAAAAGAAGGAGTCGGTATAATAGTGAATAAAAGAATACAATCAAGAATAACAAACTAAGAAGCAGTATCATCTAGAATAATCACAGCCCAAATAGAACTAAAAGACAAGATAGGAATAATACAAATATACGGACCAAAGGAAGGAAATGAAGAAGAGATAATGATAGAATTCTACAACGAACTCCAAAACGCATTAGACAAATTAAGAGAGACAAGAGAAAAAATAATAATCTTAGGTGACTGGAATTCAAGAGTAGATAAGGACATTAACAGGGGATTAGGATGCATTGGACAATATGGGGAAGACACATTAAATAGAAATGGAATTAAAATGCTGGAATTCTGCCAAACCAATGACCTGATAATAGGAAACACATTCAGTGAACAAACCATTAATGACAAATATACATTTGTGGCTGAAGAGAGAAATGCGAAAAGCTTAATCGACTATATAGTCTATACGAGAAACCTAGAACAAAATATAAAAAACATCTTAACGGTAAAGGAACCGGAACTGTCTACACAACACAGAATGGTCACTGCAAAACTGGAGGATAAAAAAATGGTGGAAGTGGAAAAAAAAAGAGTATAAGAAAGTAAATGTAAACAAACTAAAGATATAAAGTGACAAATAGACAAATAGAGTGCCAAAAAGAAACATGGACAATGGAAGAAAGATGGAATACTTACAGTGAAGTATTAAAGAAAACAGCAACTGAAGTGTATGGAATAAAAAAATATAATAAATAATTGAAAAGGACAAGATGGTGGAATAAAGACGTGAAGTCAGAAATAAAAAAGAAGAAAATAGCATGGAAAAAATACATCGAAACGGTATTAGAAGAAGATAAAGAAAAAATACTATAGGCAGAGACGATTGGTAAAAAAGACAGTCACACAAGCAAAAGCAAAAACATGGAAAGAATTTGGAGAAGAACTTCAGGAAGAATATATAACAAATAATAGAAACTTTTGGACGACAATACGACACATAAGGCAAGGAGGACGAAAGGAAATAAACGCAGTAAGAGATACTTCAAACCAAATACAAATATGCCCAGAACAAGTAACTAGGGTATGGACAAAATATTATGAAAAAAAATTTGATACCGAAGGGATAAATGAAGACAATATAAACAATGAAGGCGAAGAAAACACAGAGCTAGAGCAAATAAGTAGAGAAGCAGTAATAGAAGGATTATCAAATATAAAAATAGGCAAGGCTGGTGGAGATGATGAAATTGAACCGGAAATGGTAAAATACATGGGAGAAGAAGGAATAAACTGGCTATAGAAAATATACAAAGAGGCGTGGGAAAACAAACAATCCCTAAAGACTGGCAGAATAATATCATCGTGCCAATATACAAAAAA